GGTGCATCCTGGGACACTGACCTAAGGAGGCATGGCATCAGACCGGGGCCGAGGGGGCGTTGACCCCGGAACTCTCTCCAGATAAAACATCACTGTGGATATACATCCACTAGTGGATATACATCACTTCGTGTATTATACATCACTGCATGGATATACATCCACTACGTGGATATTACATCACTGCGTGGATATACATCTCTGCGTGGTTTAATCAGCTGCGTGGGATTTACATCATGCGTGGATATACATCACTACGTGGATATACATCACTACGTGGATATACATCACTACGTGGATATACATCACTACGTGGATATACATCACTACGTGGATATACTTCACTAGTGGATATTACATCACTACGTGGATATAACACTACGTGGATATACATCTCTAACGTCCCAGCTTAAACTGATTTTGGGTTAACATGCATATAACTAATCTAATACATGGATGTTTGCTAATAACCGTTTACTATAATGTTTACTATACACTGTTTACTAATAACTGGTTTACTAATAACTGTTTACTAATAACTGTTTACTAATAACTGTTTACTAATAACTGTTTACTAATAACCGTTTACTAATAACTATTTACTAATAACCGTTTATAATAACCGTTTACTAATACTATTTACTAATAACCGTTACTATTAACTATTTACTACTAAACGTTTATATAACTATTTATAATAATCCGTTTACTAATAACGTTTTACTAATAAACCGTTTAATAATAAACCGTTTAAAATAACCGTTTACTAATAAGTTTACTAATAACCGTTTACTTAATAACGTTTACTAATAACCGTTAACTATAACGTTACTAAATACACGTTTATTCCCTGTTGCTGTTGGTCTCCAAGCTCTCATTCTGCACATAAGCTCATTACCTACATCTTTACTATAAACAAAAATTTTCAGTAATGGTTTAGAAGAATGTACCAGGCAAACGTCTTCCGTGTGCCAGGAATGTATAGTTGTTGCTTTAGTGTGGATGGACTATCAGAAAAATAATAGAGATTTCATGTAATTTTCAGTACATTGAAGGGAAAGACAATCAAGTGAATCTAGGATGTCTACTTGTATGTCTATAGATGTGTAATGATTTTAAATAAAACTATCTTTGTGCAGTACACACGGGTGCGGCATTGGAAAGCAGTGGTCGAGTCCTGCCAGACAGCTGTTCTGTTTACTGATTTATAATCAATTGTTTCGTGATTTAATCGATGTAAATAAATAATTAGATTTATAATCTATTATTTTTTTTTATATATATATATATATATTATTATATATATATTTATATATATATATATACTATATATATATATATATGCATTGCAATAAGATCACAGTAAACAGGTCGATTTCAAAATATGCAAAACAACCACATCTGAAAGAATAGAGAAATTCCAAGCGCTTTCGTGATTACTCACATTATCATGGAACTATGAAAGTGTGAAGCATCCAAGGGAAGAGCTATATATGGGGGTCGGCCAGCACCTCATATACAGATTCCACAACTGTTAAAACAGTGACGCGCGACGAGCCACTTGGACAGGTCCTTTGCCAAAAACTCACCCAAGCTATTTATTTGTCCTGTGTATTATTAAAATTCTACCAAATCTAGTAATTATAAATGATCTAATTTTTATAAACCAAAGGAATATTCATATTATTGTCAAAACTGCTTTTTTATGAAACAAGATTCAATTATATTCTAGTCGGACCCTGGATTGCTTGATTTTACTTCTCAACTTTATGAAATCAATTGGGATGGTTTTAAAATCTCTTACATGAATAAATTAGAGCAATGGAATCTTGTCCAGTTCTCAATGCTATATTTATGTGGTTTTAATCTTAGTTCGAGATTTTTACCAGTTTGACCGTAAATAAACATTTTATTCTGCAATTTACCAAGGATTCTTATAGACACATCCACAGCATTTTGGGGGGTAATTCTAATCCTAACAAGTTTTTTTACTGTATCAAGATTTTTGAATACAATATATATTAAAAGTCTTAAGAAGAGAAGCATGCAACCAGTTTTCATGGTAGGGTAAACCAAACTATTTTTAGTTGAATAAGGCTGGTTGCCCTCTTTTTTGGATATAAAAAGTGTTCCTAGCAACTTTAAAGATTTATCAATTCCTTTCATTGGGTATTTTAAATCATTACCTATTTCATAAATTTGGATATTTCCTCATCTATGAACTCCGGACTACAAATTCGTAAAGTCTCAAAATCATTGGATGAGAAAAACAGACAGTTGAAATCTGATGCGCGGTATAATAGTGGACATAGGAAAACAGTTCTTCGTAGGTTTTCTGTAAATTTTAAATTTGAATTCATTATTACCCTTAATAATTAAAACATCTAGAAAAGGCAATGAGTTATTTTCTTCAAACTCAACAGTAAAGTTTATAGAATGGGCTAAGCTATTTAATTTTCCAAGAAAATGGTGTATATCTACATTTTTGGGCATAAGACACAAAATATCATCAACATATCTGAACCATTTAGCTCTATTAGGGAGGATTGTGTTAAGCAACCTTGTTTCAAAAAATTCCATGTATAGGTTACTAAGGGACTGATTACCTCATCTTCTGTACATAGTTCTACTGTCTTCAAGTTATGTCCTGGAATTTGTATTGAAAGCGCTTGGAATTTCTCTATTCTTTCAGAGTGGTTGTTTTGCATATATATATATATATATATATATATAATATATATATATATATATATATATATATATATATATATATATATATATTAGGTAGTAGGTTGGTAGACAGCAACCGCCCAGGGAGGTACTACCGTCCTGCCAAGTGAGTGTAAAACGAAAGCCTGTAATTGTTTTACATGATGGTAGGATTGCTGGTGTCCTTTTTTCTGTCTCATGAACATGCAAGATTTCAGGTACGTCTTGCTACTTCTACTTACACTTAGGTCACACTACACATACATGTACAAGCACATATATACACACCCCTCTGGGTTTTCTTCTATTTTCTTTCTAGTTCTTATTCTTGTTTATTTCCTCTTATCTCCATGGGGAAGTGGAACAGAATTCTTCCTCCGTAAGCCATGCGTGTTGTAAGAGGCGACTAAAATGCCGGGAGCAAGGGGCTAGTAACCTCTTCTCCTGTATATATTACTAAATGTAAAAGGAGAAACTTTCGTTTTTCCTTTTGGGCCACCCCGCCTCGGTGGGATACGGCCGGTGTGTTGAAAGAAAGAAAGAAGATATATATATATTAGATAGTAGGTTGGTAGACAGCAACCGCCCAGGGAGGTACTACAGTCCTGTCAAGTGAGTGTAAAACGAAAGCCTGTAATTGTTTTACATGATGGTAGGATTGCTGGTGTCCATTTTTTCTGTCTCATGAATATGCAAGATTTCAGGTACGTCTTGCTACTTCTACTTACACTTAGGTCACACTACACATACATATACAAGCATATATATACACACCCCTCTGGGTTTCCTTCTATTTTCTTACTAGTTCTTGTTCTTGTTTATTTCCTCTTATCTCCATGGGGAAGTGGAACAGAATTCTTCCTCCGTAAGCTATGCGTGTTGTAAGAGGCGACTAAAATGCCAGGAGCAAGGGGCTAGTAACCCCTTCTCCTATATAAATTACTAAATTTAAAAAGAAAAATTTTCGTTTTTCTCTTTGGGCCACCCTGCCATGGTGGGATACGGCCGGTGTGTTGAAAAAAAATATCAACTGTTACTTTTGTCTCAACAAGGGTAATCAGCACATATACCAGAGATCTATATTTCATTGTCAAGGTGATCTTTTATGTGGGTCTCTGTGAAAGCGGTGAACATTGCGTTTGACTCTGTAAACAGTCCACGGCATTTTATTGTTCTTTGCTGGCTTTAGACCTTGTATATTTGCAAAGATGAATGTCATCGTATTGGTTGTATGGGTGGTGGTGTTTTTTTTCCTGGCACTAATATCTATTGTTTTGGAGTGGAAGCCACTGACTACGATTCCTCTCCAGAAAGGTTCGGAGTTGGTGTACGATTTCTGTCATTTCCTACCAGCTGTTTTTTTCTCCCTGGCGCTAAAAACTCTCTCTCTCTGGAGTGGTTGTGGCTACCCAGGTTTTCCCATGGTCTGGATGTTCTGTATTTTCTTGTCCCCTTTAGGTGGTGTGCCTGACAGTATAAATTCTAGCATTGTCTTTCTTGAACTGATGACTGACACATTTCAAGGTGGAAAAGGCAGGTTGCATTTTTGTGTAGTCATGTGGCCATGGCATTTCCTGGGGTGGTCAAAATTGTATGTTGCATCTGTTTTTCCAGATATTCCATGCCTGCAGATACCTAATACATAAAATTTGCATTTGGTCAAATTTCTACTTGCTGCTTTGGTTTTTCGTGACTGCATTCCCTACGGGTGCGTGTTTCTCTGTCTGTTTACTATCTTCAGCACTTGTACTAACAATGGTGCCTTCACCAGCTTTTTTTCCTGGTATTTTGTCTTCACTATTCCTTGGGGCATCCCCTCGTTTACCGTCTCCAGTGGTATTGCTAGTTTATAACATTGAGTTTTCCTTGTCTACGCCTGTTTCCTCACTAGAGTTCCTGTCTCCCTCCAGGCCACCAGCTTTCATTTCTGTATTCTTACAGTTACTGTCTACCAGGACAGCATTTTCACCAGGGGCAATAGCATCATCTGACCACCAGGCCTTTTATTTTCCCATCTGTTATAGAATGCTGTCAGGTTTTCTATGAAGGCCGTTTTGATGTTTCCATCTTTTAATACCAATGTGATTTTTTTCAACAGGCGGTTCTCATTTGGGCATACCCAAAAACACTTACACTTCCTGTATACTGAAAGTTTAATTTAATTTAATCCCTACTGTAGGTGTTCAAGTATCCTCAACGAGTGGTGTAGAGGTGAAAAACACCACCAATAACCCTCATGTAGTCGATAAGTTTGAAACCTTATTGACCAACCAAACTATCTGGAGACTTACCTTTACCGCTGATTTCTGTGTTGATGGTCGTCTGGCCAGCAGTCATTGTAGCCAGAAAGAGCACCAACCCAATATACAGATGCCAGTGAAGCCCATCACCACCGATGTGCTCTCTGTTTCCATTTATAGGACACCCATCTGGTACTTTATTACGACTTAGAAATTCATCAGCACTAAAACGCTTCCCGCTGCTATGCGCCATTGTAAGACCTGTTACACTTGTTCATATATAACCTGTCCTTGGCAGTGTAGCTGAAAGCATAACCTGTCCTCAGCACTGTGAGTTAATCTGCCCTTGGCGTTGTAACTGGGAGTGTGTAACCTGTTGTCACTGTAGCTGGGAGCATATAATTCTGAAGGTTCGCGTACTCACCCACTTACCAGTGAGTCACAGGATGTTCAGTGAGCTTTATCATCATCGTGGGGTTTCCAAAAGCTCCATATAATACAATGATAATAATAATAATAATAATAATAATTATTTATTATTATTATTTTGTTGTTGTTATTAGGTAACACTGAAGGCCAACCTACAAAAGGATGCATTATTTTCTTCCCTCATCTTACTTTCCGATTTCATTTCACTCATAACTCTAGAACACTTTTTCCAGTCGTCTCAAATTTTTAAACATTCGTGTATGGTGACGAGGACCTATAACCCAAAGTGGTTGCATTGGGTAGGGGTGGCTTTGATAAGGACCTACCTTGTATGGGCTAGTAGGCCTTCTGCAGTGTTCCTCCATTATGTTCTTATTACAAGTATCCCGGAATGGCTCGGATGGCTTCCAAAACCCACAGTGACGTAGTAACGCGTCGACTTAGAAGATTCTCGTGGACATAATTTTTTTTTTTTTACACAACAAGGTTAGGGTAAGGATTCCTAAATTTACAAGCGAAGAGCTGTTACCTACATCAGTTAATTTTAAAGCATTTTTATTATTATGAAACATACAAGTAAGGAACAGGATGAAGCTGGAGCCATCTGTGGGCCAACTGACTTTAATTCGTTGATATTACGCTGTACGAACATGTTCCAGACTCTAGTCATCCTGGGAATAAATGATCTCAGATGAAGTGATGTTCTGGAGAAGGTTACAGTCAGAGTGATGTTACTGTTTGCTGCCAGTCTTGCTGTGTAAAAGCTCATTTCTCGCTGTCCTCAGAGTGGAGCCAAGTGTGGTACTTTGACAATGTTGACCTTGTACATAACAGTAAGGCCGCCCACATCCCTCCTGTGTTGAAGGCTCTGCTGAAATGACAGATCTAGCGAAGCTGGGTCCAAGGCGAGTGATGAGGCATCTTGCTCTGTTTTCTACTCCGCTAAGCAGTCGCAGATGAGATGGGGGACAGGCAATCCTAGAATGTGGGGCATACACAAGGTTTGAGCGTAATTGTGCCCCATTCCCAATCTTGCAACTCATACTGCCGAGCAAATGCGAGATACGTCGAAGTACTGTAAGCTTCTTGGCTGCCTTGTTTGCAAGGTTTGCAACGTAGTTCTTCATGGTCAGTTTGGAGTCAAATTTCACCCCAAGGGCATCAACTTCGTCCCCGGGTACCAACACTCTCCCAGTAATACTTTCTACTGCTCCGGCATTACCATCATGTTGCCTAGAGACCATCATCATTTATATTTTCTCAGAAGCAAATGTTACCTGCCATCGGTTTCCCCTGGCTGATATAGCTCTTAGCTGGTGACTGATGTAGCTTAGAGCTGCTGGCATGTCCTCTCTTGGATAAGTAAATGTCAGAATACAGTCGTCTGCATATGTATGGGATTCGGGATGAGATGAGTTCTCTAAGTTACTCTTTAGTGTTGCTTAGCGGATCATTTTAGTGGTGAGAAAAATCTGGGTAGACTTCCTCTTATACATCACTGAGATAATGGTGTATCTCTCCATGGCCGCGACAGAATTTTTAGATCTAATATCACTTGAAAACCACAACAAAAATATATTCGATTTACTACTGAGATAACTGTAGGTGCTCTTAAGTAATATGATCATGGATAGACACAAATGCAATATAATACAATCCTTTATTAACTACGTTTCTCCCACACACTGGGCTTTATCAATGCACAAACAGATCTACCTGAAGAGAGAATACACTAATATACATAGCATAGCGACGTGAAGGGTCAGGTGAGGAATGTTGACTGTTGAAAAGAGTGTGTGATTAATGGTTTTGAAAACAGACAAGTTGAAGAATTGAGACACTTACGCAACATATGTTGCATAAGTGTCTCATTTCTTCAACTTGTCGGTTTTAAAAAACCATTCATCACATCTGTCAGACACTGCAACATCACTGGATCTTGATACAAAGAATTCAACACTTGTCGAACCTTTGGAAGAAGACCTACTTACACTAGTGGATGGTTCCACTGTGATCCCGCTTCCTGATTCTTCTCACCTGACTGCAGTACATATGCCACCTCTCCGGCCCTATGCTGTACTTCCTACAAGAGTGATGGACTGAACACATCGATTCCAGGCTTAGGGACTGATTACCTCAAGCTCCTCTTCTCCTTATACCTTTCTGCTATGTATTGGACTGATGAAGCCAATGTGGCGAAACGTTTCTCCAATAAAGATTCCCATATGATGCATAATTGTTGAAAAGAGGTTGAATTTGAGAAGGCAAGGAGGTTCACTGCTATGAATGGCAAGGAGTTCAGCCATACTGTACAAGCCGCTGTTCTGGCTGAAACTCTTGGATATACAATAAATATCGTGATGATTCCAGGATCCTGCGACGTTGTGTTTTCTTCCCTGGCTACGAGTCCCTGGCGACGAGTCTTGCATCTCTGTAGTTAATTATATGGAATACCAGGATTATACTTGGAGTGTTTCGGGGGTCAACGCCCCTGCAGCCCGGTCCATGACCAGGCCTTGATCCACCTCGCGGTGGATCAAGGCCTGATCATCCGTATACTGCTGCTGGCAGCATGCAAACCGACGTACAAACCACAGGCCGGTTAATCAGGAACTTACTTTAGATGCCTGTCCAGCTCCCTCTTGGCCGCACATAGTCCAACGTACGAACCACAGCCCGGCTGATCCGGCACTGACTTTAGGTATCTGTCCAGCTCCCTCTTGTAGACAACCAGGGGCCTATTTTCAAGTTCTCTTATGGCTGGTGGGAGGCTGTTGAACAGTCTTGGGCCCCTGACACTTATTGTGTTTTCTCTTAGCAATTTTTGGGTATCCAGTAGTTGGCGATCTTGATTCTTTAAAACCCTTCAAGATTTTTATGATATGGGATATGAATGTTATCGGTCTGTAATTCTTTGCAATTGCTTTACTGACACCTTTGTGGAGTGGGGCTATGTCTGTTGCTTTTAGTGACTGTGGGATGACCTCTGTGTCTATGCTCCCTTACCATAGAATATTTAAGGCATGTAAGATAAGGTTTTCGTCGGATTTTTAACCCTGGAGGGTTAGCCACCCAGGATAACCCAAGAAAGTCAATGCGTCATCGAGGACTGTCTAACTTATTTCCTTTGTGGTCCTTAATCTTGTCCCCCAGGATGCGACCCACACCAGTCGACTAACACCCAGGTACATATTTGCTGCTAGTTGAACAGGACAACAGGTGTAAGCAAACGCGTCGAAATGTTTCCACCCGCCGGGAATCGAACCCGGACCCTCCGTGTGTGAAGCGGGAGTTTCAGCCACCAGGACACCTAAAAATGGTTTGTTTGATGAACACGAAGTTTCACAAGTTTGGGCCTGGGGTAGAGTGCATGGGCATGTCATCTATTGCTTTTTCGAAGTCCTGTTGTGTTAAGATTATGTCAGAAATTCTTAAATTAACCAAATTTTAAGTCTCGGTCATAAAAAATTAATTTAGACTTTCGACCCTTAGTCTGATTAAAGGCTCACTAAACCCTGATTCATATTGGGTATTCAGTATCTCAGTTTCTTCGCTGTCATCTGTATAAGTCCTGTTTCGTTTCAACGGGTCCAGTAGTGGATGTGGTTTTTGCCCTAGATTTCGATTTTTTTTTTTCAATTTCATTTATATCTAAGTTTTTCTGTGTTTCTTGATTCCTGTATGATTCTTTAGCTTAATTTTAATATTTGTTATTTCTCTGGCCAGTGCCTCCTTCCGTTTTCATACAGACTGGCCCCTTTGAACAGTTCTTTCTTCACCTTCGCCTGTATAGAGAGCATCTTTCTCATTCTAGTTTACATCTTTTCTTCTTTTTTCTTAGTGGAATGTGCCTTGAGCAAGCCTCATGTACCCCAGAGTTAATTCTTTCTGGGCAAAGATTGTTTCTCGAATCGTCCATTCTCCTTGTGTATTGGTGTTTCAAAATACGTGTTTGGAGGTCTCTGGATGTCTCACCTACGTATAATTGGTTGTAATCGTTGCAAGGGATTACGTATACCCCTGCAGAGGATTGAACCTTAAAGTGTCCCTTACTAGTGATGTCCCTGATGGTGGTGGATGTGGAGGCAGATACTTGGATTGCGGTATTGGAAAAGCTGCTGGAGAAGTGTTTGGCAACGGTGTTTGTAGGGAGGACTATGTATTTCCTCTCGGCGGTATCTTGTCTGGGTGAGTTGAAGATGTTATATACGCAGCATCTGCAGTCTTTAATATTAATGAAGTGTTCAGGAGAGCGAAGTTTGGTTTTCAAACCTGCTCACTGATGGAAGAGAATTCCTCCACAAGAAATTCACTATTTTAGATTCGAAGGGCATGAAGGAGTTAGCAGAGAGAGTTAGACTAACATGTAGAGTGAGGGGAGGAAGAGGACACTGGACCATCGCTGCTGTAACATCACCCTTACGGCCAGCTCCATAAAGGTGGTTCTTCCCTAGCTGAAGTGTGTCAACTGTAACAACAGAGATACCAGCTTCATCAGATAATAATAATAATAATAATATCTTTATTTCTACCAGTACATGTACAAGGTATACAGACCATAGCTGACATCAGTGACATACTACCATGTACAAAGCCGCTTGTTATGCAGAGCATTTCGGGCAAATTAGGTCAGTTTTGTCCCAGGATGCGACCCACACCAGTCCACTAACACCCAGGATGTGACCCACACCAGTCCACTAACACCCAGGATGTGACCCACACCAGTCCACTAACACCCAGGATGTGACCAAACCAGCCCACTAACACCCAGAGTCCCCCACCCCATCCACTAACACCCAGGATGTGACCAAACCAGTCCACTTAACACCAGATGTGACCACACCAGTCACTAACACCCAGAAAACCCTTTTACTATGGATGAACTTAGGGGAAAAACCTTGTAAAGAAATATCACAATATTTCTTTCCCCTTTCGCTGGGACTCAAACCCAGA